ACTTTATATATTTTCCATGATTGTGAAAAAGATGTTTAAGAAAATCAATTTAAGTGAAAAATAGTTGAGTCTGTTTTCCAAGAGTTTGCACTCTACGATTGCTTAGCCCCACTGATACTGACTTGAGGAGCACTATCATGAGAGGAGCTTTACATTTGAGGAAAGTAACTCTTCTCTTAGTTGTCAGGAAAGAGAGAAAGGGATAAGCATATCTCGGAGAAATAGTTAGCCTTGAAGGTAAATTTGCTCCCCAGCATTTTACCCACTCCCTCTTTCTAGACAGCACCTCTTAAAATCTCCACCAACTAATCAATTGATGAAATTAAAACTCTCATTGTAAAATCATCTTCTAAAGGGCCCACTGTCGAAGGTTGGCACATTGTGGTTCAGAGCAACAGTACATGAACTTTCATGGGACATTTCATATGTCCCTAATCTACTCAGGTCAGTAATGTGTGATTGGCTGATTCTCTATTCTCCATCCACTGTTTTCATGTACTCTCACTGAGTCGTTTTGATTTGTGCTTAGTAATGCATCTTGTTGGGTTTTGCAAGTATGGTTGCCGGATAAGGTTAAAAATTATATTCTGCATTCCTAATAACCAAAAGGTAATTTGATGAAGTTTGAGGTAGAGATACCTTTCTGTGAGATTGTTGTTATTTTACTCTAGAGATCTTGTCATGGTTTAGTACACAGTTTAGTATATTGGTCTGGTGTGGTCATTCCATCCTATAACCATCCTATGGGGATAGCCATAGGATGTTTATAGTCTAGGAAGTTGTTCAGTTTGTTATTTTGAAAATGACTTAATATTGAAAAATAAAATATTGTAAATATACTACAAATAGTCGCTCCTTATAGAAACATTTGAAACTATATCTAACAATAAACTATTTTATTTTACAGTCAAGGAATAGTACTGTCATGATCACTTCAGAGTCGATATTTGTTAATGTGAGTTGGTTCATAATTATACAGCCCTCATTCAAACATGGACATACAAAGCAAATCATATTTCTAATTGTAAAATACTATAGAAAGTGAGGGGAATCATGATAAATTTCCATCTACATATTTTGAATTGCTGTAGTTTGGTGCTAAATTGTTTAGAAAATTGAAATAACACTCTGTACCAACCAGGGAAATTACTATCTCTTTTACAAGGCAAGTAGGGGACCATACAAACTCTTATGCAAAAATAATTAAAAAATAATAGTCTGTTTAGAAGCATTAAGCATTGTCTTATTGAACCACAGGAAAATAATTACAGGTGGAAAGATCAAATGCTGCAAGTCTCAAACACTTCTGTACTTAGATCTTTCCTCAAAGCCTACAAATGGTAATGATTCAGCTAGTGTTAACTTGATAGCACCAAATAAATGATTGTACTCAGGAGGAGCTGGGCTAGGTTTAAAGGTTAATGGTTTCTGGCATACATGTGTACTCTGTATTTATATAAACATCAGCTCCTTTTATAAAAAATTGTTCCAGCAGAACTAGCAACTTCTAGTTGCCAGGCTTCAAGCTCACTCCTCTCAAACAGAGGAAAATGCAGAACCATAAGGACTGTTCATACCAGACTGTTGTATTTGATGTTGGTAAATGTTTATATAGTCAACTTATTTCGAAATAACAAGAAAACTAATGGAAATACCAGAGGTTTTGAAGAATAAAGTCAGCAAGTAAATATTATTTTCAACTTAGCAAAGAAAAAACTTGGCATGGTAGCACAAGCCTGTAATCCCAGCACTCAAGGAGGCAGAGGCAGGAGGATTTCTGTGAGTTCTAGGCTAGCCTGATATACAAAGTGAGTCCAGAACAACCAAGGCTTCTCAGAAAAACATTGTATCAAAAAGGTACAACAAAACAAAAACAGCAACAAAAAGAAAGTGAGAGCAGTGGAAGAAATTAGTACAATGAAAAAAAGTTTTAAGATTATTTGTTTCTCTAAAGTGGAGACCAATTTGAATCTACTAAAAAACGTTCAGAACACAAGTTACTACCTTGTGCAAATTTATAATGATTATTAAAATATTACTAAAACAAAATATGCAACACCAAAGACACAAAAATTTAAATAATAATAATAATAACGTTCATTAGTGAGGAACATCATCATAATTACTAAATATTTGATTTTAAATATATTTTATGTATATAATATCATTACAATATACTTTCTCTTATAGAGAAACTATTTTTTAAAATTAAGACACTTTCATAAAACATTTATAGAAAAAATAGTTCTGCATTTTATTGAGAGCAGCATCAATTTTACTTTATCTTGCTTTAAGTACACAACTTATCTGGTATGTAGATATTTTTATGTAAATCTTAAGCTCTTCAACACACTTTATTTTGGTTCTACAAGCCCACATCTAAGCTAATGTCACGTAATGACTTCCGGATGCCTTTCCTAATTTACATGAAGATATTGATATGTCAGGTATTTCTTGAATACTGATCTGTCAGTCAGACCCTTAATCTTGAATATAATATCTAACTTTCACAGTCTAGAAAGCTGTCCATTTATCTACAAGAGTCCCAGGCCTGCAAGTATAGCCTGTCTTGCACTACATTCTTTCCTTAATATATAACTCATGTCTTTGGAGTTGTCAGGTAATTTGAAAGAAAACGTATCACCATATATCTTTTTCATTCAAATTACATTGTCCATCTTCTCACTATTCCTGTCTGTACCCTGCCTGTTATCTCTTAGAACTCTTTTAGCATATAAAAATAACCTAATACCACACCAAGAAAGTTACTTATTCCAGTTATTAAAATATTAACCTAAATTGTCACACCAGTTTTCATAGCTTGGCATATATGGTGAGCACAAAAAAAAATTTAAGTGTACTGAAAATTGGAGAGAAGAACATCTTTATTTGGTAGGAATGTTTGTAATTTTTTGTTTTAATTTTTATTTATTCATTTTAAATCCTGGTCACAGCCCCCTCCCTTCTCTCCTTATCCTCTCCTGGTCCCAGCCTCACTCTCTGTTTCCCTACTCCTCAGAGAGAGAGAGAGCCCACCCACACACCCATACACCTCAGCATATCAAGTTGCATCAGGACTAAGTAATTCTCCTGTGACCTGGCAAGATATTTCCACCATGGGAAAGTGATCAAAAAGCAGGCAACAGAGTCCATGTCAGAGTCAGCCCCCATTCCTCTTTTAGGGAACCTACATGAAAACCAAGCTTCCCCTTGGATACATCTGTATAGTGAGCCTAGGTCCATACTTGGTCCTTGGTTGGTTCTTTAGCCTCCACAGTTCACACTAGGCCCTGGTTAGTTGGCTCTGTTGGTCTTATTGTGGCACTCCTGTATCCTCTGCGTCCTTCTAGCTTTCCCCCACTCTTCCACAAGGCCTCTTTCGCTCCACCCAATGATTGATTATGGGTCTTTTTTCTTAATTATTATTATTATTATTATTATTATTATTAATTACACTTTATTCATTTTGTATCCCCCCATAAGCCCCTCTTCCCTCCCCTCCCGATCCCGCCCTTCCTCCCCTTTCTGCATGCATGCCCCTCCCCAAGTCCACTGATAGGGGAGGTCCTCCTCTCCTTCTTTCTGATCTTAGTCTATCAGATCACACCAGGAATGGCTGCATTGTCTTCTTTTGTGGCCTGGTAAGGCTGTTCCCCCCTCAGGGGTAGGTGATCAAAGAGCAGGCCAATCAGATTGTATCAGAGGCAGTCCCTCTTTCCATTACTATGTAACTCACTTGGACACTGAACTGCCATGGGCTACATCTGTGCAGGGGTTCTAGGTTATCTCCATGAATACTCCTTAGGAAGTTCCTTGTGTTCAAATTTTCTTGTTCTGTTGCTCTCCTTGTGGAGTTCCTGTCCTCTCCAGCTCTTGCTATTTCCCACTTCTTACATAAAATTCCATTCACTCTGCCCATCAGTTGGCCATCAGGCTCAGCATCTGCTTTGACAGTCTGCACTGCAGAGGCTTTAAGAGGCTGTCTGTGGAAGATTCCTAGGTTGTTTCCTGTTTTCTTCTTCTGGCTTTCAGAGGCCCTCTGTAGCAGGT